CCCCAAAACCCCAAAACCCCAAAACCCCTTCTAGAAATTTTATCATCGATACGTAAGCGAATAAGAATTTGTATTTAACGATTTTAATTAAGCAGGGGTTCGTATTAAATAGGAACGAGTGGTTGTCATAATTTAATTATAGCAAAATAGAAGATACACAATGGGAGAGTCAACACCTATGAGAGGAGGAAAGCATTTCTTCAGAGACTTTATGATTGGTGGTGTTTCAGCTGCAGTCTCAAAGACCGCTGTCGCCCCTATTGAGAGAGTCAAGCTCTTGCTCCAAGTCCAAGACGCCTCAAAACATATTGCTTAAGAAGACAAATACAAGGGCATCTCTGATTGCTTCTAAAGAGTTCACAGAGAGCAAGGTTTCGCCTCATTCTGGAGAGGAAACTTGGCTAACGTTATCAGATACTTCCCAACTCAAGCCCTCAACTTCGCCTTCAAGGATACCTACAAGAAGGTCTTCTGCCCATTCAATCCAAAGGTTTAACCATTCATGTTCTTCCTAGGAAATATGGCTTCTGGTGGTGCTGCTGGAGCTACTTCTCTCATGTTTGTCTACCCTCTAGATTTCGCTAGAACCAGATTGGCTGCCGATGTCGGTAAAGGCAAAAAGGGTGGTGAAAGAGAGTTCAACGGTCTCGTTGATTGTCTTCAAAAGATTTATAAATCTGATGGTTCAAAAGGACTTTATAGAGGATTCGTTATCTCAGTCGTTGGAATTATCGCTTACAGAGCCTCATATTTCGGTATGTTCGATACTGGTAAAGTCTTCCTCTTCGAAGACATCAAGAAGGCTAACTTCTTCGCCATGTGGGCCTTCGCTCAAGCCGTCACCGTCTCAGCTGGTATTGCTTCATATCCCCTCGATACCGTAAGAAGAAGACTTATGATGCAGTCAGGAAGAACTGGTGCTGATGTTATGTATACTGGAACCATGGATTGTTTCAGAAAGATTCTCAAGAACGAAGGTGGCAAAGCCTTCTTCAAGGGATCCCTTTCAAATGTTATCAGAGGAACTGGTGGTGCTCTCGTGCTCGTCTTCTACGATAAGATCCAAAACTATCTCGGAATCTGAGGTAATTGACGCGCCTATAGTTTAGGTTTTATTTATCCTTATTTCCTAAAAATTATCCTATACCCTAATCAAACTTATCTAACTTAAACATCTATGTGGGTTTGAATTGATGCAGTTGTACTTAAATTTGATTTAAAATTTGTCTCAAGTAATCAATTGACATGATTTATTTGTAATTAGCGAAATGACGTTGCTATTAGGCGTACATCAACAATATTTTCTCCAAACTCCTTTTATTTTATCAGCAAATAAAATAGTAAAGCTAGATCTACGTCACTTGGGGTTTTGGGGTTTTGGGGAAATCGGAAGAGCACACGTCTGAACTCC